AGACTTGGCTGTTTTTACCAAGTTAACAGCCTGAGGACTTAAGAATACTTGAAATGAATGACAAATACTCATGACAGTTGCTAAAGATAAGTGATCAGGTTGGATGGTCAGACAATATTTTGTGAAGAGAACTGATTGGAACGCTGTGAAAAGGATGTTTTAAGTGGGTAAAAAAGAATCACACAAATAAGAGGAAAATTATAACAAACAATAAGGGTTAGACATGTCCATAAAAGAATCTAGAAAGTTCGTTTTGAATAGACTTTTGAAATAATCGGTAATATGTTGAAAACATAAGCCGGGGTGGATTAAAAATTGGCGTCAAATGACTTTGTAAACCAAAAGAATAGTGAGTATTATGATGGTTTTGGTAAATATAGTCCAGAAGCCAAGAAGCAGTAGTTTGGTTGCTAGTAGTCATATTACAGATGTGAAATTAGTACTCAGAAGATGTAATATGGATAGGAAGTTGGAAATTTGTGAAGAAAATTAAGTTTACGTACCACTCCATGATTTCTGAAAGATACAGGGCTGGGGAGCAACAGGGAGGAAAGACAGAGTACATACATTCATACTGTTGTGCCTAGATAACCCTGATGGTGATGGCATTTCTAGTGGAAGTTCAAAAAGTTTAAGAAAGAGCTTATTTTTAATACATAGACATTCTGGTGGACTGCCTCTTACGGAAATGTCCTGACTAGAGGTGCTCTAGGAACACGGAAGGGAAGGTTGGAGTGTGCCTTGTAGATGATATTTTTTTCTTCCTTGAGACAGAGGACAGTGTAGAGGGCTGAGAATAAATCTTTTGAGAAATACTCCTATTTAGCAGAATAGTCAAGGAAGAGACAAATCCCTGGAGAGTTTTGGGTAGCCATTATTTCATTTCAGGGAGTTCAGAAACTGAGAGTAGGTTTCATGGGAGGCTTGGTGACTGATATTGGGGTCCTCGGAATCGGAATATTGATAAAATTCCCTATCATTGGGTTTATGTCGACCTGTCTTGTTCTTTATTTAGATGAAAATCTCGTTGATTATTCAAAATCATTTTTATATTTCCGTTTTATATACTAATTTGATTGACTGGCTTATCAAGGCAGTAGATATCAATCACAGTTTTCTCTTTCAGATAAATTAATCTTGACATGCACATTTCAGTTAACTATTCTTAGTTCATGTATAATAATTTTACATTAACATTTTAGTATTAAAGGAAACATTTAGTAACAATCTTTTTTTTAAATGCTCTTTTTTATTACCTTTATTTGTGTGTGAGGGAATTGTGAGTGTGTACCTGCCAGATTATGCGTGTGGAGATCAGAGGACAGCTTCATAGAGTTGGAGTTATTCCTTCCTCTACCATCTTAATCCCAGAGATTGCACTCGGGCTATTGGGCTTGGTGGCAAGTTCCTTTTTACCTACCAAGTCATCTCACTGGCCCATGTATCATACATTCTTATATTTTTCCCAATGTTGCCTAACTCCAGATTTGATAAGTTCTTGAAATAAGCCTTCTGGAACATCTAGATTTTGGAACCAAATAGGACTCTTAATAACCATTTCAGTGCCCTTCATCTTTACACAGAAATATGAGATGATTTGCCCATGAGTAACGAATTCTTCTGAGGCTTACACATCTCTAAATATAGGCATTGTGCTCATTTCTTTTAAATACTTATAAGATTTAGTCAATATAGAATTTTCTAATAAGGGAGTTGTTATAACATGATCCTCAAAAAGCAGAGTACCATAATTTTCCCGAGTACCTTTAAAAAATTCCGCCTTTTGAAAATTTTGCCATTCTTGGCAAATACCTTATGAATTATCTATTCTTTAGTATTGTTTAATGATCTTTATGGCCCAGTAATGTATAATACACATACAACAGAAATAGTTAATGTAAATCTCACTTGTTTAAAAAATTCATCATTACTATGTCTGTTTTGTAATATTTTAACTAGAAAAAAATAGCATAAACTATATTAAATTTTATGTGGAGTCATTCTCTTAGGAAGTGCATTTAGTTTTCTGATAGGCCTATATACCTTTTATATAGATAGAGAGGATCTTTTTTCTTTAAGGTGATTAATTGCTTCTAGTTACACATGTATATGAAAATACTGTCTTCAATATTATATTTTTCCTTTGAGATCCTTATAAATTCTTTGATTGGCTTAAAAGAATGAAATACTTTTAAATTCAAAGAGAAGTGTTTTTCTGCTTTGTTTTGTTAGTCATCATACATACCATAAAAACAACTAGGGTTGGTACTTTTAATTATACAGAAAAAGTGAAATATTTTTCTATGTTGTTTCATCAGTGCTTTTAAAAGCCTCATCTACATGTTGTCTGAGGAGCCTTTCAGAAAAATAAACATTTTGGCAAGCACTTTACCACTCAGATACATCCAAACTTAGTTTTTTTTTAAGCTGGGTGTAGTCAAGCCCAGTGTAGTAGTTTACAGTGTAGCTCTTAGTGTGGTAATCCCAAAACTGAGAGCAGCTGGATGCAGGAAAGTCAGTTAAAAGGTCAACCTGGACTGTATGAGGCCATGTCTCAAAACAAAATAATAAGATAAAACAAAACCTTCTTAATAAGATCATAAGCACCTCTTAATAAGATACCTTCTTAATAAGATCATAAGCACCTCTTCATTAATAGACTTTAAAAAGGTATTCTTTTATAACTAGTAGTGCACTTTTACTTTCCTTATGAGATCAAAACGTACTTTAAATTTTTTTGTATAAAAGTCACTTTGAGCCAGGCATGGTGGCACATGCCTTTGAAAGTCCCAGCACTCAGGAGGCAGAGGCAGGTGGATCTCTGTGAGTTAAAGGCCAACCTGGTCTACATAGTGAGTTTCAGGCCAGCTGTGGCTACAGAGAGACCCTGTCTCAAAAAAGACCAAAAAAAAAAAGTCGCTTTGACTGAACAGATTCCTTGACGAAGAACATTACAGTTGAAGGTGTCAAGTAGGACACAGTGATTTTACATACGATTACAATATTTTTGATTGGGCTTTTTTTTTTTTTAGAGATTTATAAGATACTCTGCTAAAATATTCTTCTGCACCACTACTAACTATAAATATGACCACATTGATAGCGTGAGTATATATATATGAGTAATTTCTCTCCCTAAAAAAAGGTTAAATGCAGAGAAAGATTAATAAAAACATCCAGAGAGGATGCTGTGCTCATGAAGACCTATCAGATTTCTGTTGTCATTGCGGAGTCAGACTGTTGCACCTCTTCCTGTATACTGTTGTGACTGAAACTTAGACTCATATAAAGTTGTGTTTCTGGATGCATTTACGAAGCAGTTGCCCTTTGTTTTTTGTCTTCTGGAAATTTGAAGTGAGCTGAGAAAACATCTAACTTGTCTAGAACCCTTCCATTTGATATAAAACTTTTTTAGGGGTAGCCTTTTTTGTTTATGTGATTAATTACTTGTAACAGTTTGTATAACTTTTATTTGCCTAGAAAAATATTGAACATTAAAAATGTGAACCCTGACATTTCTACTTACAGTCTGTCAGTTTGGGTATATTCCATGTGGCTAATTTCTTACTCTACTCTGGATGAAATAGGTCTGTCCTTTCTTGGTTTTGAGTGGTTCTAATGAGACTTAGCATCACGTACCTTTCTCTGCTGTCTTACCTTTCAAGTTTCTTTACACCCAAGAAACTATCCTATTTCATTATTTATCTTTTTGCGTCTGTGGTAAGTTTTTTATGTATATTAGCATTAGATAAGCTTACTAGTTTTCTTTTATGTGATTACTTTCTAAGAAGAACTACTTTCTTTTCTGTTATCAGCACCCGAAACATCATTAATACCGTGTATACATTTTTGCCCTCATCCCCAGATAGCTAAAGGAAAAGTTAGTTGGCTTTTTGCAGCCATTCTGTCTGTTGTATTTTATAGTGATGTTTTCTCTTCGACCAAAGTATTTACTTTCCTGGAGAAATCAGTAGTTCTGCATTTTAAAATTCCTGTTTGGTGAATTGTTCATGACAAATTTTTAATACTAAAAGAAAGCTACCATTTCTCTTTCCAAGCATTTCCTAGGATGTAACTAATCAAACTCAGTTTGTTCTAGATCAGTGGATACCGGAACAGAAAGGAGGTATTTCTTACCTGATAATGTGTGTGTGTTCCGATTCTGCTAATCCAGAAATCCAATCACATTTGTTGAAAATCATCCTTAGTTATTATTTGTTAGGGAGTCAACTCCCTATTTTAGTTGTTTCTGAAATTCTGAAATTCAGTCCCTAGATGTGCTTTAGATAGGGTAGAATTTTTACCTCTTTCAGAACACTGCTAAAGAAGTTTTCAACTGGAACATAGTCTGAAGAAACACTGAGAGCAAAAAATTCAGAGTGGTGATTGGCCACCTCTGTTTGATTGACAGGTTGCAGGGAGAAACCCATTCGTTCTGGATTAATGGAACTGGAAAACAGAAAACAATTATCAGGTAAAAAAACCCTTTTCTTTAACCTTTAAAATTCACCATTAAAGGATGAGTCAGACCACCAGGGAATTTTTTTTTTAAACCAAAAACAATGAAATTTAGTGTGTCTTATAAACAGTGATCTCTGGCTGCTACTTCTAAGCGTTACCAAATATTGCTACCGTTGCTCCATGTTCTTAGCCTTTACAGAAAGGGCATGAATGAATGGAAATAGATGGAATGTATGGTTCAATTATGCTTTAGACCTGGGTTTAAAATGTGAAGTAGAATTCTCTGGGTGGGGGGAGATCTGTGTTCTTTACTTTCTGAATTATGTCTGGATTGTGAATAGAGTTCTTTGTTTTTCAAAGCTGTTAATCTAGCACTTTTCATGAATGTCCATTTTATTATACTTTGCTTATTATACTTAATCTTCCCTTTACTGCAATGTATACTATTAAATCTTTCATTATAAAATTCTAGTAACAGTAGTACCATTTTAAAAATATTTTAATGGCAGTTTTCTGATTGTTGGTTAAATATGTTTCAGATTGAAGGCCAAGGACATGGTGCAGTGTTTGACTGCAAATGCTCTCCTGATGGTCAGCATTTTGCATGTACAGACTCCCATGGACATCTTTTAATTTTTGGTTTTGGGTCCAGTAGCAAGTATGACAAGGTAGAGTATGATATAAATGTACATCATTTTCCTAGCTCGTGGGTTAAGTTGGGGGTTATATAGTTTATTTTTGCAGTAAATGAGAATGAACATTTTTTAAAGCAAAAAACTTGAAGAATAAATAGTAGGAAGACAAGTTTTTAGAAAGTGTGCTAAAGAGAGTAGCTATAAAAATCTCACTTCTGTAATGAATTAGTCTTTATTTTAAAATCTGTGTATTTCAGAAGGAAAAACTCGACTTACCCTCTTATAACAATCTAGAGTTGAGTTCTTAACTTCAGATCTATTATCTTGAAATGGAAGATGTTACCCATAAAGGGGCTTTTTCAGATTATGTAAAACACTTATTTAAGTTATATATATTTATGTAGGGTATAGCTGTTTAACTTTCATGTGGTTCTCAAAAATTTATGACCTCCCAGTGTTTTGTCACTGAAGATTCTTTATTTATGATGGGGTGATATAAAACAATTGTAGTAGCAAAATAAATAATTCATTTAGCTCAAAACATTACAAATTAATTGAAATTATAGCTGTATCAGAGTTGAGTTCATAATAATTTTGTGTTATCAAACATTTTAGAGAAAGTATCTCTGTGAAAGGCACGTTCAGTGTTTTGTGCCTTGATACTGTTTTATGTACCATTTAAATTGAATAACTTATTTTTAATGAAAGTTGCATTTTAATGTAAGTGGTTTTATGACAGTTCTAGAGAAAACTTAAAGCAGCAGCTTTTCTTATAAAAGGCAGTGTATAAAATATCAGTTTGTTTGTATGAATTTAAGAGAATATTCTCCCTCTAATGCTAAGGACACAGGCTGCATGGAAGCTGAAGCTATACCATGGCCCCAGATTACTTTTTCAATACTTGCTTAATGCTGTAATTTGTTGCATGGTGTTTTGTCTTCATTAGAAATGTTATCAGTCTTTATCTACCTTCGTGGCTCACTTGACCCCTATCCATATACACGTTTTATCCATTACACTACATTGCAAAACC